GCAGACAGGGTTTACCAAACTGCTCTTTGCTTCCTAGTCAAAGGACCAAAGCCAGGGATGGAATGTAATGGAGAGCAATCAAAGTCCAGAGCCCAGTACCAGACAAGTACTTTTTGGGTGAATGAATGAATGAACAGACTATTTGGTCAAAAAGTTGGGAGTCTGTGAATGGATGAATGAATGCATGCATACATGCATCAATGAATGATCAAATAACTGGTCTCCTGGCTGCCAGACTCTTCCTACTCCATTTTAGGCTACCCACTGTGGCAGATCTCATCAGTCTACTCTTCTGTTCACGAGTCCTAGGTGGCTTCCCACTGCCTTCAGGATAAGTCCACATGCTTTGACCTGGCATTTAAAACCCTGAACAAGAAAACTGCAGCCTACCTTTCCATCCTTCTTTCTCACTATTCTCCATTTGGCACCCCTTATTCTGATCACACTCATCATGCCCAAATATGCTTTATGTTTGTCTTTCTCACTTCCTGCTTTTTCTCAAAAAAGAGGAGCAAAAACGAGGAGGAATGGCAACAGATGTTAGCTCAGGGCTAATCTTCCTCAAAAAAAAAAAAGATCCATGTATTTCTTTGTATTGTAAAGTTAATCTAAAAATAAAAATCTTACCACTTAGATCTCCCTGGCAAGAATTCACTCCTTTGTCTATTATTCTCTTAAAGCACCATGTCTACACTGGCAGCACACCACTTAACATAGACTGCCTTCCATGAGAATTATTCCTGTGCGTGTCTGTCTGCTTCGCCCTGCATGTGAGCTTTGCCCTAGGGTCCTCACATAGCAGGCACTCAACAAACACTTGTGAGATTCAGTTGAGGCCAGAATCATAAAAATAAAGAATAACAAAAACAGCTATCATGTATTAAGCACCTACTGTGTGCCAGGCTATATGCTGAGTTCCTTACACATATTTAATTATATATATGCATGTGTTTATACTTACATGTACCTGTACACATATATACGTAAATATACACACACATACATACACGTGTATATGACCCCATGAGATAATCAGAGTAGCCGTTAAATCTGAAAACGGGCAAATACGCATAACAAATGTGAGTGGTTTAGCTACATTACACAGGCAAAATAATAATGTCTATGTTTCCAAACTTTATGGTCACTGTGTGATTGTGTGCTTATGTGTGTGTGTATTGTTATCAGTCTCCATTTTACATTGAGAATACGGAGGCCCAAGGTCATAGAAACATGACGTGCTGAAAGTAGGATGAAACCCCAGACTGCCTGGTCCCTGAGTCAGTAAGCCGGACTGCCTCCCAAGTGGCCGTCACATAAATCCAGAAGAAATGTGAGATCTTTCTGGCCAGGAGACTTGAAAACAGCAGTTTCCCTGAAATTGAAAATTTTTGTGAAGTGTGTGTGTCTTTTGAGAAATGCACAGGCTGTCTGGGGTTCCCACAGCTCCAGGAAGTGGGTACTTAGCAAGAGGAGGACCTGGGTTTATAATCCTAGCTGCACCACTTCTCAGCTGCATGACGTGACCTCAGGCGAGTTGTTTAACATCACCTAGCCCGGGTTCTCCTACCTTCGAGATTGGTGTAATAGCAGAGCCTACCTCATGGCATTTTAAGGGAGGATTTGATGAGATAATGCACGTCAACCTCTCAGCATGTGTAAGTGCTCAGTAAACTTTTGTGGAGTTCGTTATTCTTATCATTCTGCCATTTTTACTGTGATTACAACTCCCTGCCCTCCTCCTTCTCCCACCCACCCCCACAACAGTTTTTGGCCTGTTCCCAACCCCTCCCTTTCCTCAGAGGGTAGAAACCCAGGAGATAGTCCTCTAAGAGCAGCTGTGACAGATCACTTTGTCACGAACACATCACAGCAGCCAGTCAGCCCAGAGAGTAAAAAGCGCCAGCTAACTCCCAGGTGGGTGGTGCCTCTAGGGGATCCTTGGCTGATATGGGACAAGAAAGACTCTTTCCTTTGTTTTCAAAGAATCTTTGCCACCTGCTTTGGGCTTCTTGCCTAACTCATCCTGAAATGAAGTAGTTGGAAGCCTTACAAGTGATGAACGAGGCTGCTGTGACCTGAGCGCCCACCTTTGCAGTGCAGGTGAAGTCCAGGCCTTGGAATTCCGGGGCTGGCGGGAAGACGGGGACTGCCCGCTGGCACCTTGCCCTTTGGGATTCTGCCTGACAGGCCAGTGGGGGACAAGGGTCCCCCCATTGTAATTCAAAAGACCCGACCCTAGGGGGTTCTGCCTCCGCCTAAAACACCCCCCTGGCAGGTAGAGGATTTACTGGGGAAAAACCGACAGTTCAAGCTTTTGGTTTTTTTGATTTGTAGAGTTGAACAGGTCAGTGTTATTTGAAATAAGATAATGATTTTTCCTGTTATTACAAAAGCAACCCATGCTCATTGAGAGAAAAGAATAATGAAAATGCAGATAGGGCTGGCCCCGTGACCGAGTGGTTAAGTTCGTGCGCTCTGCCTCGGCGGCCCAGGGTTTCACCGGTTTGGATCCTGGGCGCGGACATGGCACCGCTCATCAAGCCATGCTGAGGTGGCATTCCCACATACCACAACTGGAAGGACCCACAACTAAGAATGCACAACTATGTACCGGGGGGCTTTGGGGAGAAAAAGGAAAAATAAAATCTTTGGAAAAAAAAAAGAAAATGCAGCTAAATATAATGAAGAAAAAATTATATACCCATAATTTTCCTTCCAAAGAGCTTGTTCTTCGCTACCTTTTTCTCTACTTAGAGGAAGGCCATTGCTCTGGGATTCAATCCACCAGCTCTCTGAGCTGGCCTCTCATCCCGGCTATGCACATGTGAGCTAGTCTCTTAAACCCTCTCAGCCTCATTTCCTCAATTGTAAAATGAAAATCAAAAGAGCATCTATGATGGGGCCGGCCCCGTGGCCGAGTGGTTAAGTTCGTGCGCTCTGCTGCAGGCAGCCCGGTGTTTTGTTGGTTCGGGTCCTGGGCGCGGACATGGCACTGCTCGTTGAGCCACGCTGGGGTGGTGTCCCACATGCCACAACTAGAAGGACCCACAACGAAGAATATACAACTATGTACCAGGGGGCTTTGGGGAGAAAAAGGAAAAAAAATAAAATCTTTAAAAAAAAAAAGAGCATCTATGATGTTAAAAAGTTTATTGAAAAAATTTTTTAAATGGAACGTCTATGGTATAGGGTTGAAATAATGCCTAAAAGTGACTCAACCAATGTGAGCTCTTATTATAGCAAATATGTATTCTTAGCAACAAAATGCTGTCACACTACAGATACTGTTTGTAACCTGCCCTTCCCCTCACTAGGCAACAATGTGACTCTCTTTCCAGCATTAATATTCCACGATGACCTTTGTGTGGAAGGTCGCCTTTACCAGTCCCCAGTGATGGACATACACGTTATATCCAGAATTTCATTCTTTTTTTTCAAAGATTGGTGCCTGAGCTAACAGCTCGTTGCCAATCTTTTTTTTTTCCTTAAAGATTGGCACCTGAGCTAACAACTGTTGCCAATTTTTTTTTCTGCTTTATCTCCCACAAATTCCCCCGGTATATAGTTGTATATTCTAGTTGTGAGTGCCTCTAGTTGTGGCATGTGGGACACCGCCTCAATGTGGCCTGACGAGCAGTGCCATATCCGCCCCCAGGATCCAAACCAGCGAAACCCTGGGCCCCCGCAGCGGAGCGTGCAAACTTAACCACTTGGCCACGGGGCTGGCCCCCAGAATTTCATTCTTATAAACAATGCTGTATTAACATAACTATGGCTAAATCTTTGTGCCCAGCCATAATTATTTCCTTGGGGCCAATTTCAGGAAGTAGAATTGCAGGGTTTTAGGGAGAGACACAATTGTATGACTTTTGATACCTGTTACCCAACTGACCTCTGCAACTGTTAGGCCAAGTTCCTTTCCCACCGTCAGGGAAGGAGGGGGCCTGGCTCCCTCACCGTCACCAGCGCTGGCTTTTATCATTTGTGTCTATCTTTAAGCAATTATTCTTGAGCAAGGGAATGTCTTCTGTCTGTCTGATTCAACTGGCAACTCCCTGAGGGCAGGGCAGAGAGGCAGTTCCTTCATCTCGGTGTAGCTCCCATGCCTGGTACCCGCTCCGCTCACAGTAAACACTCAAGAAATAGCTGAACCGAGTCTCAGAAGCCAAAAGCTACTTTTTAAGTTCCCTGGACAGCCAACTCTTATTAAATGCAAACCTAACAACTGAGAATTGTACCTGGATGAAATTTGGAGGCTATGCACAGAGTGGGGCAAAGGCATTTCCAGAAGCACTGCCCTGATATTCAGATTTAATCAGCTGAGTGATAAATCCTGAGATCAGCCTGGGCCGGGGCTGCTTATCTGCCAGCAGATTTGCATGTGTGACTCGAGATCCACTCCAGTTTCAAATACTTAGGAGAGCTCTGAGCCAGGATACACAAGTTTCGCTCTGTCACCGTTTTGGCAGTGGCCCAGGACACGTCACTTCATCCTTTGGGCTTGGTGTCCCCATCTGTTTAGTGGGGAGCTTAATAATATTTCCTCAGGAGGTATTTTAACAGTCATGGAACTTTGCTTCCCTCTCCCCTCCAACATTTACTGAGGATTCGTGACGTCTCCTTTCTGTGCTGGAGGCAGGTTAGCATGGTGGGTAAGGAAACAGGCTCTGGAGTGGGCAACCTGGGCTCAACACTGTTGCTCTGAGACATTCCATTGTGTGAACTCGGGCAATGGGACTAAGACGACCTGCCGTGGAGGGTTGATGGGAAGCTCTAACCAGCTCATCTGTGCAAAGCGCTCAGGACAGTGCTTGGTGCATAGGAAGCACTAAGTGTCGGCACCGATGATCTGATTTAAACCTCGCAGTCACCCTGTGAGGTAACTGTTGAGTATTTACTCCATTTGAAAGATAGGAGCGAGGAGTAGAGAACTTACACAGCCAGTAAGGATAAAACCAGGATTTGATCTCACGTCTGTCTGACTCAGAATTTTTTTTCAGGCCCAGAGAGTGGAAGGGACTTGCCAAGGACACATAGCAAGGTAGTGACAGAGCAGGCCCTGGCTGCAGCCTCCTGATGCCAACCACCTGGTGCCCAGAGGTAAGGAGCCCTCTCCTGTTGCTGCCCTTGCTCCTGGGGCAGGGAAAGGAGCCCAAAAGCGTGTGGGGACTCGAGCAACTCTGCGGCCGGGCACAGAGAAGGAGAAGCCATTGTTGTCATTGGCCGCTCCAATTACTCCTTTTGTCCGATAATTACAGTCCCCAGTCCCCTCCCAGGGGGGAAGTCACCTACCAGCTCCTGCCTGGACTTGTCCTTTCTGCAGCTCCCTGAGTGTCAAGGCAGGATGGCCTCCAAAATGGATCCTCCTGCTGCCGGCCTGACCCTGCTCCTATTTCAGGTCCACCGCTGGGCAGGGCAGCTGGAGGACGATTTCCTGAGAGGAAGGGCTCCTGCTCCCTCAACAACTCACACCTCCTCCGCCTTGTTTCTAGGCGAATCCTTTTTTAAAAAAAATGATATATTTCATTTAACCCAATATATGAAAAACATTATTTCAACGTGTAGTCAATATAAAATATTAACGAGGCATTTTACGTTCCTTGTTTGTACAAGTCTGAAATCTGGGACGCACTTCACACCTGCAGCACCTCTCAGTCTGGAGGCTGTGTTTTCCAGGGCTCGTAGCCAAAAAGGTGGAAACAACCTAAATGTCCATCAACTGGTGAATAGATAAACAAAAAGTACTATATTCATACAATGGAATATTATTCAGCCGTATAAAGGAAGAAAGTGCCACATGCAGGAAATCTTGAAAACAGGTGCTAAGTGAAAGGAACTGGACACAAACCACCATATATTGCATGATTCTATTTATATGAAAAGTCCAGAATAGGCAAATCCATAGAGACAGAAAGTAGATTATGGCTGCCAGGGGCTGGGGGAAGGGGGGAATGCAGAGTGACTACTAATAGGCACAGGGTTTCTTTTTGGGGTGATGAAATGTTCTGGAATTCATGGTGATGGTTGTATAGCCTTGTGAATATACTAACAGCCGCTGAGCTGTATGTTTCAAAATGGTGAATTTAATGGTATATGAATTATGTCTCAATAAAAAAAATTAATGATAGGGGGCTGGCTCTGTGGCCGAGTGGTTAAGTTCATGCGATCCACTGGGTGGCCCAGGGTTTGGATCCTGGGTGCGGACATGGCACCGCTCGTCAGGCCACGTTGAGGCGGCGTCCCACATCCTGCAGCTAGAAGGACCTGCAACTAAGATATACAACTATGTATGGGGGGTTTGGGAAGATAAAAGCAGGAAAAAAAAAAAAGAAGATTGGCAACAGTTGTTAGCTCAGGTGCCAATCTTAAAAAAAAAAATTAATGATAAAATATATTAAAAATGAAATGTAGTCCCACCAGAACAATAAAGTTGTCTGTAATAGGAAAATATTATACACTGATTCAGTTTCCAAATTTAAATGTAAATTAATTAAAATTAAATAAAATTTAAAATTCAGTTCCTCAGCTCCAGGTGACCAAATGAGGCTCTGACTTGCCATCCCTGGGTAAATCCTCAAGGGACCGGAGGTAGTTGATTCTAGGACACTGGGGTGAATGAATGAAGCCGTAAGAGGACACTGACCCTTTCTTCCCACCATGATGCAAAATCACTTCAATTTTATCATTCCTTTCCAATGACTCATACATTGGCGAGGAAACCCATAGAATGTCAAAAAGAGAAGGAATCTTCAAGATAATCAATTTTTGGGACTGGCTCGGTGGTGCAGCGGTTAAGTTCACACGTTCGGCTTCAGTGGCCCGGGGTTCGCCCGTTCGGATCCCAGGGGCTGGTATGGCACCCGCTTGGCACGCCATGCTGTGGTAGGCGTCCCACATCTAAAGTAGAGGAAGATTGGCACAGATGTTAGCTCAGGGCCAGTCTTCCTCAGCAAAAAGAGGAGGATTGGCAGCAGATCTTAGCTCAGGGATCATCTTCCTCAAAAATAAATAAATAAATAAATAAATAAATAAATGAATGAATGAAACGAAAGAAAAATAAATACAAGCTTTAAACAAAAAAGATAACCTATTTTTTAAAGTTTACATAAAGTGCCATTCACTCTCTCTGTGGTGTACAGATCTGTGGGGTTTGACACATGCATGACATTGTGTGTCCTCCACCACAGTCTAGATACAGAACGGTTCTGTCGCTCCCCACGTCCCCTCGTGCCACCCAGCTGTTGTTTCATGCTTTCATTTCTTGACTGCCCCCTGCTCTGCACTACCGCCGAGCTTTCTCACCGAGTCCCCCCAGCTGCCCTAGGCAGTGGGCCCTTGGATCCTGTTTGCTCAAGGCCACACAGCTCTTAGTGGCAGCACTGGGATGCGACCCCGACCCACCAGCTCCAAAGTCCACGTTTTTTACGCTTTCCGAGATTCATTCACACCCTGAGTACCCACGGTGGGTCTGATAGTCATTCGAACATCCTGTTTGACCCTACCCTCTCCTCACACAGCCTTCCTTGGGGGAGGTCGCCTCCCCATGAAGCCGGCAGCCTCTCATCTGAAATGGCAGCAGGGCAGCAGGCCCCAGGGTGCGCGGCCCCTCAGAGGGCCCTCCTCTCAGGCCTTGAGGGGCAGAAAGGAGGGGCAGGAGAATGTCAGAGGAGCAGTGATCGCACTCAGCTGCCTCCTGCCTGGGCAGCTGGGTGTTTCTCCCCATCCTGTGGGAAGCTCCCTGTGGGGTTTCAAAATCAGTTTTCAGGCTTCAATAGCCAAAAATGTTGTTTTACTCCCAAACGACCTGTTGTCATCTTCCTGATCTTCTAGAACGTTTTTATAAACCCCTCTTCTTCCTCAGAGTGGGGCGATGCCTGACTCTGCAGGCTGAACGTCAGGTGCGGAGGAAGGGAGGCAGTCGGGCTCTGGGAGGGCCTGCGGGGCCCGGTCCTGCTGAGAACACAGCCCCAGGAGGGGGCTACGAGCCAGGGGCTCGGTCCACACTCCAGCTTCGGGTTGCCTCAACCCAAGTTTAACCAGCAAAGTTTTATAAACAAACCCCCTCTGAGAACTGTACAGTAGTTCTAATCCCCAGCCTTTCAGGATAGAGCGGAGGCAAGGGGAAACCAGACCTTGCAGGGCTGTGGAAAGACCGCCGCTCCCACTGTGTCCTTCAGTGACAGCTCTCCTTACAGGAAGGAGAAGGCCTAGAAACCAGCGCGCTCGGAGTCAGACACAGATGCCGGACCATCGCTTCTCCTTAGCTTCAATTCCCCGGGCTTGGGGGTGGGGGTGGGGGTGGGGGCGGGAGGCCTCAACTGAGGAAGGTGGATGAAAGCGGACATTAGCTGTGACATCTAGATTTTTTTTTGCCTGAACCTGAGAGACAGTTTAAGCTAAGCTTAGATTTAATTTGCCAGAGATATCCTGGGGTTTACAGGTTTACCTTTTTTTTTGAGTCTCAAATGCAATGTAGATTTGTTGGAGAAATTTTTCAAAATTGCCAAAGGCAATAAATAACTACAAATTTAAAAACCACATTATTCTACCAATCAATGCTAGTGTTTTAGATGTTCCAAACTATTTTTCTGTCCATAAGTGGATGTTTTTTCACACAAAAATGGAATTGTACATAAGATACTATGTTTTATAAAGTTGCTTTTTTAAAAAAAGTGTCAGTGGTTTTTCTTTGTTGTTGTTTTTTTTTAAACAGCCACATCAATAGTTCTTAGGTGGCCCAGGTGAATGACTAATATAAGCAGAAACGATCCCCTCGGCCTCCTGGAGGTGAACGTGATTAAACACAGCAACTTCAGCGTGGCGTACGACGGACATAAACGTCTCCATGTCTCCTTGCTGAGCGTGGCTGTGAAACAGTCAGGCGCAAGATGAAAGGACAGTGACACAGCTGAGGCAGCACTTTGTCTCCACCGTGCCTGCAGCCCATTTTACTGAGTGTCAAACGCCACGGAATGAAAAGAAAGATGTTTTTGTTGACGAGGCCTCCATCCCCTCACCTCCAACCCCTCCTGGGAGAGCTCAAGGCTGAGTAAAGGGGCCTCTAGTGAAAGCGACCACTCACACCTTCTCAGAAACCAGGAAGCTCAAAAGAGCAGTGAAGAGGGTAGGCTAACTCTGCCGTCTTTGGAGAGCAATTTCTAGGCCTCTGAATTTTCAAAGGAATGTAGATACAGCATCTCCTCAGTTCCATGCTCGTTGTGCGTGTCGTGTCTGCCCTTCCAGGGTGGGAAATGGCGCGCTCATAGCCCTTGGTGAGCAAGAGCCTGCCTCGGCCTGAGCTGCAGTAGCTCTCGTCTGTCCACCAGAATGAGCCGGGCATTACCCTTCCTCAGCTCGCCCCCTGTCCCTTCCAGTGAAGAGACCTAGTTGTCTGGTCCAATGTCAAACTTTGCAAGGCTGTAAACCACCTGTAACCCTCAAACAGAGGGCTCAGGAAGACGAAACACTGATGGAGGAAATCCTGACTGTCTTAAGCCTGCTCATTAATAAGAGGGACGTAATAACAGGCGAAGTGGAGAAGCTTATAAATCACGGGCAAAGCCGGGCATAGCGGGCAGGGAGGCCTGGCAGATGGGAGCCCAGGGTTCATTTCTGGGGTTAATGGAGCCCTGCCTGGTCCTTGGGATAGCCAAATGCCGGGCGCCGTGTTTCCTTCCTGCCTCGCTGGGGGAGGTGAGTAAGTTTGAGGGAGGGGATCACAGTATGGTCACCACAAAGCAGAATGATACTTGCTCTGGGCCCCAGAGGGAAGTGGGCTGGAGCTCGTGTTGTGTCTTGGAGAGGTGCTGCCAGCTCAGTGAATACCGTTCCCCTCCCTTCCCTCTCCCTGCTGTGCATCTTCCACTCCCAGTCATTTATCAGAGGAAAGGGGAACAAGGACGGGCCGACCTAGGACTTCTAAAGCCCCTTTTCCTCCGAGAGCTCCCAGCTCCACTCTGTAGGCCCCACGAGCCTCCTGGCAGAGAGAGCAACACGTTCAGCTAGAGAGAAACTCAGGAACCTGGAGGTTCTTTGACTGGATTCCACTCACATGGCAGATGGGGGGATCGGTTTCATTTGCTTTCCATTCAAGATCCTGTTGCTTACTCTAGGTCTCACAACTTGACGGCTTAACAGAAGCAAAATGGAAACCCCATGAGTCAATCTGAGTCTGCGTGACTCAGGGTCTGGATGAAATTGGAAATGTCACATGTGGCACGTCCAGAATGAAGGAGTTTCCTCGTGCTCTGATGTCTGTATCTATGTGGACAGTGATCTCAGGATGCTTCATCAATCAAGCCTGACAATAACAACAACAGTGAATGTGTGGTACCCGACCCTTACTGAACCCTCGTCTATCCCAGGTACTTAGAGAGATTACATATAGTTTCTTGTCTAGTCCTCACAACAAACCTGGGAGGAAACCCGGGCTCAGAGAGGTGATGTGACCGCCCAGGATCACCCAGCATCAGAGCCAAGAATCACAGCCATGGCTGCTGGATTCCAGAGCCCAGTTTCCTCGCCGTACCATCACAACCAGATTCTGGTTCCGTTCAGGATGCAAACTGGAGTGGAGGTTAAGATCATGGGCCATGGAGCCAGGCAGACCCCGGAGCCTGTCTTGGCCGCTTAATTTAGGCTGAGTCACTCTGCCTCCTGGAGCCTCAGTTTCCTCGTCTGTAAAATGGAGGGAATACTGCTCTTTGTGAGAATTAAATGAGGCACTTCACATAAAGTGCTGAGCACCCGTAGGAAGTCAGTCACCGGGGTGGGGGCGCCTGCTTCTGGGGGCACCCAGGCAGGAGGGTTTGAGGAGGGCCCCAGCAGGGCCCTTAGAGGAGCTGCAGAAAGCAGTGCTGGTCACATCCACAATTTCGATGAAACCTGTAATTATAACCCCTCTTGCCACTCCCGGCCCTGGGGCAGTGATAGGATCTCTGCCGTTCTCCAGGGTCAGGTCTGATCACTGCGTGGCTGGGCAGACACAGATGGGTGGGGAACGGTTGGGGGGGCACTTTCTCTGAGTCAGGCAGCAGGACACACCCAGAACGCACCGTGGGGCACCCACCCAAAGGGAGAAGCTGTAGCAGCCCCTTTCACAGGAGACTCAATGAGATCGAAGGCCGTGGAGTTTCTGCCCAGCTTCTGTTTTTTACCCCCAAGAGCTCATATGTAATATGCTGAATTTGAGCTCAATTCATCTTAAATAACAGCTCCCGTCCATTGAATTCTTACCATACGCCAGGCTCTGGGCTGGGCACATTTTAAGCGCGATCTAATTTGATCCTCAAAACAGCCCCGTGGGGTGGTATCAATTGCTCATGTGTATACAGCAGTTCCTATGTGCCAGGCACTGTTCTAAGTACTTCACGTGTATTAATTTATGCAATCCTATCAGGTGAGTACTATCATTAACCCTTTTTTACAGATGGGAAAACTGAGGCTCAAAGAGGTTAAGTAACCTAACCTGCTCAAGGTCACAGGGCTAGAAAGTGAGGGAGCTAGGCTTCAAAGCAGGACAGTCTGGACCAGGCATCACACTTACCCCTACGCTGTAAGGCCTCTCCAACCTATGGACTGCTGTCACTGTCCCCATTTGGCAGATGAGAAAACTGAGGCTCAGAGACAATCCACAGCCAGCCAACGTCAGAGCTGGGATCTGGCACCAAAGCCCAGAATGGCCTGCGTCCTGACTGCAGTTGCTCAGCTGGTGTCCTCTCCGGTGGACACGAATGACAGGATTGGAGGAGCAGAGCGGGGCGATTGGCCTTGCCCCTAGGAATAATCACAACCCGTTGCCCTGGAGAAGTGCTATGAGTCTCCTCATTTTATGGATGAGAAAAATGAGGCCCAGAGAGGGGAGGTCTCTGCCCAGCCAGAGAGCGATGGGGCTGAGACTTGAACCCCTGACTCTGGACCGAAGCCCAGGCACGTCCCTCCTTCCAGTCAAGGTGTCTGAAATTCCACTCTAAGGAACTCATTCTTTTGGGCCCTGAAGGTGTCTGGTCTTCACATCAGTTAAAAAGTACTTGTTGAGCCATGACCTTCTCGGCATCGCACTGAGTCAAGAGTTTTCAAACTTTTGTGGAGGCCCCGGAGCTCTAGGGAGGGTCCCAGGCAGGGTCTGAGATGACCACACATGCAGGGGTGTCCTGCCTCGTCCCCCGTCTCTGTCAAGAACAGCTTTCCTTGTATCTGTTTTATATTGAGAGGCACATAGATTTTCTTTTGGGGAAAGAAATCCACCCCTAAATATGCTTGAAAATTACCATGTTGGATCCTGGGGACATAGAGATGATATGACATGTCCCTGGCCTTGAAGAGCCATCAGAGGACAGACATACAAATCCATTGCAGCACAGCAGCAAGCTTAGCAACACCCAGGGAGGCAGAAGTGCAGAGACAACTTGAAAGAAGAAGTGGTTAGCTCTGGGGCAAAGGAGGGTGCTGAGCAGTCAGGGGGCGCTTCTGAGAGGAGGGGACATTGAACCAAGTTTGCAGAGACTGGATTCTCTGAGCAACCAAGATGGGAAAGATCATTCCAGATAGAGGGAACAGCATGGCAAAGGCACAGAGGTGTGATGAAAAATGATGCATACACTCGTCCCTCGGTATCCACGGGAGATTGGTTCCAGGACACTCCTCTGATACCAAAGTCCGAGGATGCTCTAGTCCCTTATATAAAATGGCTCAGCATTTTCATATAACCTACGCACATCCTCCCGTGTACTTTAAATCATCTCTAATTACTTATAATACAATGTAAATGCTATGCAAATAGTTGTTATACTGTATTGTTTACGGAACAACGACAAGGAAAAAAAGTCAGTACCTGTGCAGTACCATCCTAGGCCTTTTGATCTGAGCTTGGTTGAATCTGCAGATGTGGACCTTTGGGTACGGAGGGCCAACTGTATTGCTGGAGCCTTAAGCAGCCCTGGGACGGAAGACCTTGGGACATAAGCGTGCTATTATCAGCTAGTGGCTGATTGCATGGACTCATGGAGTCCATGGACTCGTGGAGCAGATGACTTTGAAACAATCACTGACTTTCACTATCAATGTGCTCATTGTATCCGAGAAGTCAGAAGTGCTTTCCTTTACTACGCCAGGTACTATGCTAGCTGTAGGGACAAGGATATGAGCTCTCTGCTCTCCAGTGTCCTAACACCTGGGATGAGAAGGGGTGTGAAGATGCAGCCCAGGCTGCTGGTCAACAAGAGTTTCTTAGGGTGGGGTGCAGTGGGGGTGCAGGGGCTGGGGGTGATCAAGAGTTAGCTGTTGAAGCCCAGAGGCGGGCAAGGGGCGATGGCTTCTGACAGGCACAATCGGGGAGGGCTTCACGGGCAAGATGGCATTGAAGTTTGACTTAGAGACGTGGGGATGATTGCGATAGACAGGGATGGGTGGATATATTCTGGGCTAAGGAAGGAACAGCAACGGGAAAGGCCTGAAGACAGGAACGCATGGGTGTGACGAGGGAGCAGCCGGGCTCAGCTGGAATGCAGCGTTTGGTGCACGGAAGGAAGGGGAAGGAGATAAAACTGGAAAGGTTTGTTGGAACAGACTTCAGAGAAATGGGAAAGAGGGAAGCCAAGGATCCAGACCCGGTGATTTGGGCCAGAGGACCTGGGCCCGAGCAGGGCACAGCCCCACCCTCGTGTTACCACCCCCTGTGGAGTGTCCACCCCCTGGAAGTGCCTCTGAGGGACAAGAGCAATCACAGCCCGGAGGGACAGTGTCTCATAGTGGCTAGGAGGGCCGCTTCTGGAGCCACCTGCATGGGTGGAGGCCAGCAGCCTTATGAAGCAGCCCTGTGACCTTGGGCAAGTCACTTTGCCTCTCGGAGCCCTGTTTGCTCATCTGTAAGATGGGGCCAGTAATACTTATCCCCGAGGATTGGTGTGGGGATTAAATTAGTTGATAGACTCAAAAGGCACAGCACAGAGCCAGTCACACAGCAAGGACGCCTGAGATGCTAGTCTGTTGCATATTTAGCTGCTTATTTCACTGCGCACCCTCTCCAGCTGTGGTCAGAGGAGGGGAGCCAAGTTTCATTTGTGTGTTGGTTTACTTGATTGTGGGAAGTTTAAGACTAAGGAAGACTAAGCTGAAAATATCAGTAACTTTAGGTGCCACTTATTAACAGATCCTGGTGACCAACTCTGTATCGTATCTGCTCTTCACGTGTCCATTTCCTTCTACGTGGTGTTGGGAGAAGTTTGGGGTGGGAAGCTCGATTCGCTCCTGGTCCCAATTTTTCCAGGTCAGCCATTCGCAAGGTGCCAATCTGTGCCAGGCCTTGTCCCCTGTCCCTTGTTCCCTGAGCACAGGGAATATTAATGAGTAAGCTGCAGCACTGCCCTAGGTGAGTGGCCATCCTGGCCCCGAGCCTGAGGTTCTTGACTGTTCACTATAACCCAGTGGGATCTGTGCTGAGGAGTCTCATGGGAATCCCAGAGAGAGAGCACACCAGAGGTGACAGGAGAGGAGAGGAGAGGGCTGTCATCTCAAAGGGGAAACATCCTGATTTGGCCTGTCTCATGAAGTCATTTTATTGACTACAATTTTCGACATTCAGATTGTCGTCTGGTTTTGTAGGTACAGCCAGAGGAAGGATGCGACAAAGAGTACGTGAAAAGGGCGCCAGCCTGGCGCCCTGGCGCAAACAACCCTTCCTCAAACCTCTGTTGAAATCCCCCAGTGCACAGAAGGAGGGGCGTGAGGCAATGGGATGATAATAATAATCGTGGCTGGTTTTTGAACACATACTATGTGTCAGGACTGTGTTAGGTATTTTACAGATTTTCGACTCTGCCACGGAGAGAAAACTGAGCTCAGATACCAACACATCCAGGATCACGCAGCCCACCGTGGCCTGGCGTGGGCACCAGGGAGCTCACAGAATGCCCACTGAACCTTAGAAGCCTAAGCTGAGACTTATCCTGCGAGGACGAGGAAGGCTGAAGTAGACTGTCAGTCCTCGTTGTTCTCGCATTCTATATTTGTGAACTTGCCTACTTGCTAAAGATTTATTTGTAATCCCCACATCAATCCTCGAGGTGCTTCTGTGGTCATTTCTAGACATGCACAGAGTGGCGAAAAAGTTGAGTTGCCCAACATGCATCTTCCCAGCCGAGGACGACAAGGCCACGCTCCGCCTTCTTGTCTCCGTTCTTATACCTTAAATAAAGGTCCTTTTCATGGTCTATTTAGTGCCACCCTTTTCACATTTTTGTGCGTTTTCTTGGTGATTTCACTGTTTAAAATGGCTCCCAAGCGTAGTGCTGAAGTGCTGCCCGGTGTTGCTAAGAGCAAGAAGAACAAGTGATGTGCTTTACACAGGAAAGACGTCTGTCGGAGGAGCTTCATTCGGTCATGAGTTACGGTGCTGTTGGCTGGGAGGTTAATGAATCGACAATTTATATGAAGTAAGGTGCATTTAAACAGAAACACATGCAACAAGGGTATATATTGATCACTTGATGAAAATGTTGTGATCAGAGGCTCGTACGAACTTAACCGTGTATTTCCCCAGGAGCAAGAGGTCAGCATTCGCTAATTCAGTGTTTGTGGTGACTTTATAAGGAACGTAATTATCTCAAATAACAAGACTTGACCGTGTATAACAACATCGGGGGCCAGCCCGGTGGCGTAGCGGTTGAATTTGCACGTTCCACTTCTGCGACCCAGGGTTCACCGGTTCTGATCCCTGGTGCGGACATGACACCACTTGGCAAGCCATGCTGTGCCAGGCATCCCACGTAGGAAGTAGGGGAAGATGGGCACAGATGTTAGCTCAGGGCCAGTCTTCCTCAGCCAAAAGAGGAGGATTGGCAGCAGATGTTGGCTCAGGGCTAATCTTCCTCAAAAAAAAAAGAAAAAAGAAAAAGAAAAAAAACAACATGGAAATTCTTCATCTAAACCACTTTCTCTCTCTCACACATACACACAGATACATACATTTATATATACACACACATATACATACATATATACGTACATATATACATACATACATACATACATATACATACACATAAATACATGTATATACATAAATACACACATATACATATATTCTCATTATTTAAAAAATTTTTAAGTAATTCAGAAGAAAATACAACAAAACATTGAAAGTCCACCTTCATTTTCCCCTCCCCCTCCTAGCCAATCACTCTTTCTCCATTAACAGTTTGATGGTTTCTTTTCAGACTCTTTTTTTAAAAAGAACATTTATAAGACATATTTATTATTTTTCTGAACAAAGTGCAATGATTTTTAAATCTTTTAAATCAGACTCTTATATATGTTTACAATCATATCAAAGGACATATGCACCTATTTAGGGTTGTTTTTTAATTAACCCCAATGGGATCCTACTAGATATTTATTTTGCAGTTTTCTTTTCTCACCTACCAGCAGGTAGTGTGGCCTTTTCTGTGTTTAGTACCTACAGACCTGCCTCACTATTTTTAAATAGCTGTATGGTATGAGTGTCCTCTCATGTATTTAACCATTTCCCCCTTTGTTGGACATTTAGGTTGTTTCCATTTTTCATTATTACAACATTTTTCATTTGTGACGATGGGAGTTCATAACTGAACCAAGGTCCAGTGGGCCCTTTTGCAGACGAGGCTTCCCTTCCTCCCCAGAGGGCTTTCTCTGGGAGAGAGTGGGGCAGAGCCTGGTTCATCTGTGGGAGCAGAGCCAGAAACGGAGGACCAGGAATCTCCGAGGATCTCCGGTTACATGAGAGAAACAGGTGCCTGGGAGGGCAGGGCGGGCAGAGGGCACAGGAACCTCGTTCCCGGCAGTGTGTGTGGTCCCATTCCGCAGGCCCTTGTGCAAACACTCGGCTTTGTCACTGGCTGAATAGGAAAGTCAGCCCCAAATTAGCACTAATGTGAGGGCGTTTAAGCCTCTTGTGAGGCCCTTTGAGAAAGCACAAAAGAACTTTTTCAGGGGCTGGGCTGTCCAGCCCAAACAGGTCTGACTTGGAGACGCATGCCCAGCAGGAACACCGGGCCCTGGGAGGCTCCCTGTCAGGTAACCCGGCAGATGGGATTTTGAACCCAGCTCCGGGTCCTGCAGGCCTGCCCTCCTGGGGGCATGGCAGGCGGGGCCGCAGGGCCAGGAGGCGGGATCTCGTGGCAGGTTAGCGTTTGGACACCAGGCAGGCCTGGGTTTAAATCCCCACTCTACCCTCTGAGGCTGAGAGGCCCTGAGCAAGTCCATTCCTCCTCTGAGCCTCAGTTTCCTCCTCCGCAAAATGGGGACGATAACGCTAATAACTTCAAGAGCTTGTTGAGAAGGTGACATGAGACAATGCAGGGTCACATTCTCAGGGAGGCCTCCCCTGCTCACGCTGTTTAGAATCTCAGTGGTCCCCTCCCCAGCTCCACACTTCTTCCCGATTTTGATTTCCTCCATAGCCCTTGTCACCTTCTAACCTGCTCTACAGGTTACTTATTTATTTCGTTTATTGTCTGTCTTCTCCCACCACAAGCTGCACAGGGCAGAGATTTTTACCTCTTGCTCGTTACTGCAACTCAAGAGCTGTACACGGTGCCTGGCACATAGGAAGTCCTTGATAAAAGGCAGCTTCGTCGCTGCTGCTGGCATTATTCTTATTCTCAGTGTCACTCCCCAGGGCACGCAGACAACCAGCTTCCTGTGGCCCTGGGCCCTGCTTTTGGGGATTCCCACCCTCTTCAGCTCACAGTCCAAGAAAGAGAAATATTTGGGCCCATGAAAAACCACAGCAGAGGGCTGGGCCTGTCCGGAAGTTTTCTGAGCAGTGTGTGTATGTGTGTGTGTATGTGTGTGTACACGCGCATTTATTAGCATGTGTCTGTGTGTTTTCCCTGGAGAAGCCTGATGGGGCCACACTCTCCGTTAGGGGCTCCCCTTTCTCTCAAAATGGAGCTGGGTGACCCTGCAGCAGGAGGCAGCCACCACAGTGCGCTGGGCGTGCAGCAGCCTGTGTGTGCTGGCGCGGGGCAGCTTGGGCGAGGCCTGGCGAGGCCCAGCGTTGCCCGCCCCAGCTGCCTGTGCTCAGAACAGGCCTGTCTGGGCCTGCCCACCTCTAATCTGACCACAGAATTGGGGAACCGACTGAACCCCAAGTTCTAGGGGAGCTCAGCCTGGGGCCCAGAGGCACGAGGTACCCCAGCCTGAGCTCCAAGGCTTCTGCCATGGTCTCCTTGGCCTTGGCCCCACCTTTATCCCACAAGATGCCAAGTCCAAGGGCCTCCAGTGGGGGCTGGAGGCTTCAGCACCAAAGGCCATCTCCTGATTCTGAAAGGGACGCTGACAGTTCTTGAATGCCAGCTAAGGGTCAGACTTGTGCGAGGAGCTGGGGAAGGAGGCATGAGCCACACAGACCCAGTCCTCCTCTGCTGAGCTCCCAGTCTGGGCTGGACAACTGAGAGTTACTTAAATCACAGCTCTGATGAAGCTGAGGAAGAAAAGTACTAGGAACTGTGGGTGCTTCTCACTGGGCGTCTGAGTTCTCTGGAGGCTGGAGGTGTTCTCTGAAGAAATAACATTTAAGCCATGGCCAGAAGGATTGTTGGTGTCAATCAGGTGGAGGGGCTAGGGTTGTGGTTGCTGGAGAATTGTGTCTCAGGAAGAGGGAACAGCATGTGCAAAGGCCCAGAAGCAAGCTTGACACACAAAGTCATTTCACTGAAACCCGGCAACACCCCAAGTGGAAATGTCTTATTTTGCAGATGAGTAAACTGAGGCTTGAGGAGGTTATATAACCTGCCCAGGGTGCCACAGGTGCGTCCTGAGCCTGTGAGGTTTCCCTGAGGACTCAACCTGAGTCACACATCCCTCCAAAAGACCAGTCCTGTTTACCTGTGGAAAATGTTCAGAAAGTCTCAGGGTTAATGAGGTTTCTGGAGAGGAAACTCATCACGTAGGAGAGAAAGAGTGAATGGGAAAGAGGAGAAGCCTGCTTCCAAGGTTACCGCGAAGGCGATTCCGAGATTCGAGCATCATTTCCCAGCCTGGGTCCTCCTTGGGTGCTGTCCCATCTGATCCACGTCTCCTGAAATGAATCACAATGCAAAGTAGGCCAGATGTGGGCAGGTAAGTAAATAAACCAACCATGTGGCCCAATTCCCTCCTCCCAGAGGAAGAAGCTCCATCAAGTCTCTAGACAAAACAGAGCATGTCTTGCGATTTTAGTTTAATTAATCGCAGTCGATTTTCCCTGTGTTGTTGAATAAGGTCACCTTGAAGAGGTAATGAGAACACCAGTGGGATTGGGCTCCTGGGGGAGAAAGCAGAGGCGGCATTTGGCAGTTCTTGGTGAAGACCTAATGAAGTGAGGGTCCTTCACTGTGACTTGCTCCACATTTATTTAAAAGTCCGGTGAGCTGTGCCCCTGTCCCACGGGGAACAGCCACAGCTTGACTCCCTGGGCTGGAGAAGGCGTTGTTTTTGAGGATGCTCTAAATGGTATCCCCGTGTTCCCCAACAGGGACAGGATGACTACGATTGGGGTCTCCAAGTGGTAAGTGAGGCCCCGGCACCCACCTGTCCCCAGGTAACCACACCTACCCGGGTGAGCACTGGGTAACTAGGCATCGCCATTGCACGGGCAAATGGTGCAATTCCCCCGGCTTGCCCAGGAGGATCAGGATCTACGTGCTGCACACCTCGGGGGCCCAACCTTGCCTGTGGGGCAGGGACCTCTGGGGAGAAGCTCGGCAGGGATGTCTGCCCCAAGGGGCTCACGTGACTCCCCAGCTTCAGGAGTGGGCTCACATCTGCTCTCCCGTATCCATTCAGGGTTGAGAAGGTTGAGGGCCCTGGAGACGTTTGAAAAGTCACTCCAGAAGCAACTGCCTGAGACCTTTTAAAACAGGGCGAGTGAGGCTAGATAGCTTGCCCAAGGTGGCACAGCTATTCATGGCAGAGTCAGGACTGGAACCCGCCTGGGGCAGGCTCCAGAGCCTCTCCCCGACCGCCCCTTCGCTTGGGTTAGTATCCTTATATCCGTGGTTGTGTACATATGGAAGAGAGGTCTGGAAGCATGTACATCAAAGGGATTGTCCTTTACTAGTGGGGTTATAAAGGGGGGGCTTTTACTTTCTACTTTTTCATGCTCACGTAGTGTCTCATTTTTTTCTTCACAAAACTTTTTTCATTTTTTATTGTCTTGTACTTTTGTGGTCAGGCAAAAGTGACAAGCTGA